TATCACCAAGGCCGTTAGCGACAACAGGCATGTGAACACCCTCCTCCCAACGCACCCACAGTCAGAGTTTTTCTTTCTCTCTCTTCCCTATAAGACTCCCCAATGCTGACTTAAAGACACACAAGCGAAAGAGAGACCGAGAAGGATGATAAACTCATTACTGGGACACAAATGCCCTTAGGTTAGCATCACTTCCTTGAGAAGTTTGCAACAGCCTTCAAATATCACTCAAATATGAGTGAAAATGAATCCCTGCCTGAAAAAAACCCACCCACCCTTCTTCCCTTGGGCATTTTTGCTACATTATCCGAAGTACAATTGCCATAATCATGACACAATCAGAAAGCCAGATGCTGATTTGCTGATAGAGACACCTGCCTAGACATGCCATCAATGAGAATTAATCTTGGCCTAGTTTATGCTTTCTTCTTCACCGGGAACATTTGTCATGCTCTTATGCTGTCAGCACAGGTTTGGTTAAGGATTTAAGAGATTTCCCTTTCTGAATAATAACAGTAATTAAACCATTCGTAAAATGTTAAAGCCAACCTCTGTTCAGAAAGGTTAAAAGAAAGACGGGTTTGCACAGTCACATCAAGGCCTGGGAGAAAAAGTCTGCAGGTTCTGTTTCTAAAGGAGTTTTACTCTGTCTGTCTGTCTGTCTGTCCATTCATAATCTATTCTCTCTCCCTTTCCCTCCCTCCCTTCCTCTCTCTCTCTCCATCCATCATCTGCCTGCCTGCCTGCCTACCTACCATCCATCCATCCATCCATCTATCATCTACCTATTTATCTATCTCTATCTATCATCTATTTATCTATCTATCATCTATCTATTTATCTATCATCTATTTTTCTCTATCGTTCATCTAGCTATCATCTATCCATTTCTATCTATCTATCTATCTATCTATCTATCTATCTATCTATCTATCTATCTATCTATCTATCTATCTATCTATTATCTATCTATCTATCTATCTATCTATCTATCTATCTATCTATCTATCTATC